TGCTGAATTCAAACCTAGGACCACCCAAATAAGAAGCAGGAATGCTGACCACTTAACAATAATATTCAGTTTGAGGCCTTGAAGTACTAAATTCCTCATGACTGCATTGAGAACAATGTAAGAAATCATTACAGGTATCAGACTTGAAGAGGTCACTGTTTAAAATTTTCTGTCACAGTAATTCCTGTGAAAGCGATAAATTGTTTATTATTACTGCCTACAAGTAACATATTCCCCATCTTTCAGTTTTATTTTATGCTTTTAAATTCCATAGATAGTACCTAGGCCTGGGCTGTCATACAATATTTTTCCCCCGTTTGGTCAGATATATATCAACTCTGCTGGTTATAACTCCAACAAAGGACCATGTTTAGGTATTTAATTCAGTCTGAAATAATGATAAACCAGACATGGAAGCTTGCATTTGTCCATAGCCATGGGGTGAACTGCATCATCCTGAAGGCAAAATAGACCGAGTAGCTTCACTTCAAGTTCCTGGGATCTCATGTCATGTCCCTACATGTTACACAGATATCACAAGAATATATATTTTATCTTAGTTATGTGTCAAAATAAGATATATGAAGATTTAACTATATGAATTAAATTTTACTTCTTACTTGACAACACTGAATAGTTGATGTAGGCAGGAACATGAAATTATTTGTGATGAGAGGTTATAAAGTTTTGTACAGAATACTTTTTCATGTTAGGAGTAGACATGGAAAGGCATGAGCATAAAGGTAAGTGTATGTATCAGCTTGGAACATGTTTTTGCGATCAGTGGCCCAACTGTTCTTCATACCATAATAAGAACTGGTGTGATGGAACAGCTGGGCCACCGGAATGTATTGCTTCAGTCACCATTCCTTCAAATTAGCAGTAAACCTGTTTTCTTTGTCAGCCTTTGAAAACAATTCATAATTTGACTTGTAATAATAGTCATTAACAGTTATTGACAGGAGATACTGAAAATGTGCACTTTATAAACCAAATGAATTCCTTTCACGTTGACAGGAGTGTGTACGTGCAACTGGCCCTTACACAGTAATTGCACTGTTTGATGCCACATAACCTATAACAAATTAATATATGAGAAGAAACTTGAAAGCCAAAGAGAAAATTCCCATCCAAATCCGACCTTCCATACTAGTAATAAAAAACATTTGCAGCAATGTGTGCCTCATTTTATTTGTATAAACCAATCCTACCACTCCAAAATAAAGTTTAAAAACCATACTTGCATGCAGATTTCAGGATTGTAGAATAGAGGAATTTTAAGCATCACTAGCCAGCTACGTCCTTGGGAATTTTAGTCCAGTCGCATAATGTGGCAGAAACAGATTTTTGATAAAGAACATTGGCAGATGATCTGCCAATTTGCCGACTAGAGGGTGGCTGACACCGGCTCAACTATCCAAATACACGGATATAAATTCAATTATTCTAGGTCGAGGTTTACAGAAATTGCCAACAAAATGAGCATTTTATATTAGATATTAGCACCATAATGGATGTATAATACACTTAAAATTTTTGTGATGTCATTTCGTTGTTTGGACGCTACAACTTTCAGTCGCGAGATAGGGGCGGGAACAAAATGGTCATGGTAGTCTGTAAAGAACGTAGCTGGCAATATGTGCCACTTTATCGACTAGAGGAACTAAAGGGTGGCAAATACCTCCTCTACTATCCTAGTACCCGGATACTAACATTTTTTTCGATGAATAGGCTTAAGGTAATTGGAAAAACAATGGCAATTTTGTATCCGTGTATTAGCAACACCATGGAGGTATACTGCGCTCTTAAAATGTTGGTAATCTGGCCATTTTGTTGCTAATCTTGAAGCGGCGACTTTTAATCGCGCGATG